ATGTCATTTGTTTACAAAGATAATGAATCAGAGACAAGTTATTTGCAGCTCTGCAAATGGTGATCTTTATAACTGTTGAATTTTATACATTTCTTACTGATCGCGCTAGCCGTGCAGCGAAAAAGAACTTGATTGCTACAAGCTGAAAGTTCTTCTTGTCCTTCAACAAAGTGTTAGAAGTAAATGTGTATGATTTTCGATTTTTCTTTACCTTTCCAATAAGAGGAAACTACAAATATCCTTCTGGATCTTATAAATACTTTGGCCATAATGCCATCCAGCAGAAAGAGCTAAAGAATAGCAGGTCATTGAGCCCTGTTAGCATCTTCTCTTTATTTTTGGGTTTGGAACCACATCATGATTCTAACAGCTGCTGTTCATCAGAAAAAAAGAATTTGAAACCTGTGTAGCCATCTAGAGTAGTGATTGACGAGCAAATTGCACGAGTGGAGTGTCAACAACTCCAGATACTAATAAGGAGAAGATGTCTCAGACCAAAAAGAATATCGGCAGAACAAGGAGTAAACGAGTATCAGGCACAAGAAACTAGTCATACTTGCATCACCAAGTCATGGTCCTATTTTGAGAAGCTAAGTTTTGAGAGAACTGCAGCAGCTTGGTCACCACCTAGAAGGAAATAAGGATGTCTAAGAGCTGCAGCAGCAGATAAACGTCTACCTCTCTCTGAAATAAGTTTCGTAGCCAAATCCCACCCTCTACCAGAGTCGAGATCAAGGATACTGAGATCAGGCCTCGTCCTAGTCCTTTCTCTCCAATTATTCAAGTCATATCCAACTGCATTTAGTTCCATATTGAAGTTCTTTAAGCCTGCTGTAGACCTTAAGCTCGGTACTGCCATTTGCATAAGCACTATTCCAGCAGAATACGTGTCAAAGAGATCGGGACTGTTTAGCTGCAATAACAAGAGTTATCCTGCTTTAAGTATAAAACATGAACTCTGCAGCAACATCATAGTCAGATTTCTTTCCAAAAGACAAAATCTAATGTAGTATATGGAGTTGACACATGCTTTAGTCTTTCTTTTTTCCTTTCTGCTGTACTTACATATAGAATCATCTTCTGTGTCAAGCTTACAGTAAAGGAATTGTTACAACAACAACAAAACCAGTGTAATCCCACAAGTGGGGTTTGAGGAGGGTAAAGTGTATGCATACCTTACCCCTACCTTGAGAAGGTAGAGAGGTTGTTTCCATCTTTCCAATAGACCCTCGGCAATGAAGGAAGAGTTACAAGCAATATAAATCAGTGTATTAGAAGGATACCTGCCATAAAAATGGGGAAAGAAGTGCAGCAACTGGCTCTGCTGGTGGTTTTGGAGTTTCTTCTGGCATTACATAGAGTTCAGGTGGACAATAATCAGGATCGAGTAGCCCCTTGTCAGGCACATAATTTTTTCCAATCCTTAGATCAGTTGCTGCCCCAAAATCTATCAGCTTGATTTGTCCTTTTTTCGTAACCACTAAGTTGGATGGCTTTACATCTCTATGGACTATACCTGTGTCATGGATTTTCTTAAGGGAAGTAATAATCTGACGCATGATTTGTTTGATTATTAATGCATTCCGTTGAATTGAGTCCAATCCTTGTAAGACACGACCAAACATGACAGATTCAATGTTCAAGGGGAAGCCGCGATCCTTCATGTAATCACCTAGGTCCCGATCTCCCTGTCACATGAAGTTCCTACATTATGGATGCAGCTGCCATCTTACAAGTTTTGATGCAATTCAACCAAACAGAAATATGGAAAGCAATCATAAATCTAATCATAGAAAACAGCATGCATCAAGGCAGTTAGTAAAATCGAATCAGATGATTACATTGCCACGTAGCTTTTATGTTTATTGTGTCCAAATTTGGGAAGGTTCCATATATATACATACGACGGAGGAGAGTGGGACTGCTTAAATAGACTCGGTAGCCTTTCCAGGTAACCATGACTGCAACTTAAGTTGAAGTAGTTGGATGGAAGATGAGATTCAATAAGACTTTGTACAAGTGGTTTCAAAGACGATGAGCTTGCGAGGTAAGTTTCTTATGGGAAAAGGGGGATATGGTAACTGCTAATTGCAACTGGTTACCTATAGCCTTTGCTAACATCCTTGCTAAGAGTTGAATGTTTAAGCTCCTATTCTCATAAATCATGGCGTTTCTAAGGTTTGGACAACTACTACATTGTTTTATTTCTGAAGATTCAAACGTCAGAAAATGGAGAAAGAAGTCTCAGCTCCTCTCATCAATGCACCCTTTATTCTTTTTCTTCTTTTACTGGGAAATCAATGTAATGTATTCCTACTGATCTTGAACAATATATGTTGATGCAGGCATGACGTTGTATTTGACTTTCAAAACACAAAAAGTCATGAATAGTTCCAACGAAATGAAAAATTTGCTGAAAAAAATATGCTTAAATTCCCAAGTACCTCAAATTTCCAGACAAGCCATTTCTCACCCTTAGTATATCGTGAGTTAGTTTTTTCGGCAACAAAGCTACCAAGAAAGTCTGCACATGTCTCAGGAGCTGCTCTTGATAGCCTATAATTGAACCATTCTTCAAATTCGCCACATTCTGCAGCACCTTGAACACCAATCTTTACCTATACATTGGAAAATAAACTAAATTGTTACTAGGGAAGAACGAGTATTAAAAATCCCCAATACAAAGCACATGCAAGAGAGAAACAATTCAAGAACTGAAATGATGAAAAGAGGGTCAAACACAACTACATAGTTGTGACAAAACAAGAGGACCATCGGACGAAATCCAGATTAAAAGTAAACAGAATACACAATAATCTTACCAAGATTTATGGAAGGAAATAACCCAAATCAATATGATTTGGAAGGTGTAATCATAATTCATAATCAAGCCTAAAACATTTACAACCAAAAAACTCACAACTAAAAACCTTGATAAGCTTTAAGGTTAGGCAGTATATGGGCAAAAATAGCTAGTCCCTCCATTCCATTTTATGTGACACTTTCATTTTTAATCCTTTCCGAAAAAAAGGACATATTTTTGTACTTGAAACTCGACAACTTTAATTTCTTCGATTACTATTAATGACAACTTTAAGCTCTGAAATGTCATAAGCTTCTAAAAGTACTCTGGTGTGTGCCAAGAGTCGTTCTTGATTCTTAAACTTCGTATCCAGCCAAACACCGACATTATAAAATGAAATGTAGGGAATACATAAGCTAGAAATGTTTAGCAGCTTCGCAATACCAGCTTAAGATAACAAAAGGCATACAAGTGATACAACTAATGCAAGCCAAATCAATCAAATATTGCTCATAAATGAGATCTTTTAAAGGATAAATCACCTCATTACCTGTTTAAGAATGACCTTTTCCTTGAACCTTGAATCTGTGATAACTGATTTCACTGATGATCCTCTTTTCCTCACAATATCATCCAAATTTACATTCTTAGGAACAATGACCCCAGAATAAACAATCCCAAATGAACCCTCACCTAACCTTTCCCCAATCAAAAAATCTTTCATCTTGAAATTTCTTTTCCCACTCAAACTATCTAATCCCAATTGAATAGGTGCCAAAATATATGCATCAATGGCACCAAGTAAAACCCCAGGTCTAGCCGTCAAGTAAATCCAAGTAATACCCGCAAAAATCAGCAGCCCCAATTTCTGTTCTTCCGGCAATTCCCCAGTAAATTTCTCAAATTGGGCATACCCAGATTGAAAAACTGGGAATTGAGACAAAGAATTGTCCAAACTAACAGAAATTTCATCAACAAAGGAGCTGCAAGTAATGGTGTTGTTTCTCTTGGAATGGTTAGTGCAAGACCAAAAATAGTAGCTTTTTGAAATGGGTCTTAAGGGTGAGTAGCAAATGAGGTTAGGGTCTTGATGGAAAGTTGTTGCAGCAGTAGGAGAAGGGGAAAATAGAGACGCCATTGATGAGTATTTTTTGCTTGAAGCTGTTGCAGGTTCGTTGTTTTATGGGGAAGTGTGCTTTTTTTTTCTCACTGTTAGTGTCAGCAGAGGTAGCATTTTGTCCACGTGGAGATAGTGGGGTTTATCTTTTCGGCCATGGATGTGTGGAGCATGAAGAAACAACAATACTATCTGTAGACAACAAGATTTGATTATCATTGTCCAAAGTGGGAAGAGTTTTGGTTTTCTTGTATTATCTATTGGCTAATAGAAAAAGGATGAATGGTTTGGTAGAAAAAAGCCACTTGTGAGACCCGACCCGACCCATCGAATCATGGACCTAACTTTCGATTTGAGATTTGACCCCAACCCTGATTCGAGACACTACTAACCCCATCCTGAGACTCGACCCTGACTCGGACCAACTTTCGACCCAAATTTGAGATTCGAGACATGGAATGTGACCTTAACCGAGACCAACTCCCAACTCTGACTTGGGATCCAAGACCCAACTCTTGTCCCCAACTTGACACTTTAGATGATATAATATCTGACTCTCAAATTAGGAATCAAGACCTGGGCAATGACCTCGATTAGGACCGACTCTCGACCCCGACTTGGGACTCGACCTGACTCTGACCTCAACTCGAGGCCTTAGATTACTCGATACACTACTCCTACATCAAGATGGTGAGGTTTAAGAAAAAGGCTTGGCGTGCACTTTTCTTACTCTCCTAATTTATAGTCTAGATTTTTTTTTCCCTTTGAGCATTGTAGGGATCGTGTGGTTGACAGTCTAGTTATCTAAGATTGTTACGTGGATATTTAAAATTATTACGTAGAGAATATAAAATACGAAAATTGTTGCATAAAAAACAAACACATTTGTTTTAAAGGTTATTATACACATATCATTAATCCTCCAAAAATTAAATTAATAGAAAAAATATATTATTTTCTTTGCTCTATTGAGATTCAAATTCAAAATTGCTACTAACTACAATGGTATTTCTATGCCATTTTTAATAAATCAAAGATATTTTTATTCTATTTTCAATAATTCAGGAGTATTTCAAAAAAAATTCCAAAAAGAAAATCTATTAGAGGACACGTCAGAGATACCAGAGAGGCGATAACTGCAGAGGGAGAGGGAACTCGAAGCTGGAATTGGCGTTGATGACAGTAAAAAGAATCGCCATGAAAACCGACGAGTTGATCAGATTTTAGCTGAAAACTGAACTTCCCTCATTTCGCTATGTGCAATTGCCTTTCTCCTACTACTTTCTTTCCTCATTCTGCTTCGTTTTCATTTGGCTTTACTACTTCAAAATTGACCCACAAATCGCCACCCTTTTTTGGTAGTACTCCTTACTCACATCGCAATTTAGAACTTGGTAAATCGAAAAGGGGCATACCCAAGTCGAGTAGTTCAGATGGGTATGATTTTTTCGATGATTTATGGTTTAAAAGCAAGGAAGAAACTGAAATTCCGGTGATTGAAGCTTCAAAAATTGAAAAACAAGCGGATATTCCGAGTCCCAGAAAAGGAATTAATGATGAGGATGATGATAGAGGGGTTGGGTTTCTTGAATTGGGTAGAGAAGCAGAGGAGATAATGAAAAGAGATGTGGGAGAAAAAATTGAACTGGAAAAGGGGATTGTGCGGAGGAAGAAGCAAATGATGAAAAGATCGAATTTGATTGCGAAGCAAGTGATCAGCATTCAGTCTGCTCTCAGTTTGGGCTTTGTTTCGCAGCTTTGGGTGGACATAAATTCTGTACGTTCAACAACCCTTCTACTTCAAACTCTCTTATATTATAGAGGATATATCGGTTTTTCCTGTTCTGCAATTCAAAGTTTATTGAGGTACCTAAGAAAATCTAGCAAATCTTCGAACAAAACTTTTAGCTAAAGACAGTTCCAAATCTTCCTCATTGTGGAGGTTATGTCTTGGAGAAAAACATCCCATGTAATCTGATCCTCTTTTACAGGCAGTATTAAAGGGTCGTTTGGTAGATGGTTTGGATGTGAGTTATGCAAATATTAAATATTGCAGTGTTGCACAAGTAATTACACGTTTGGTAGCTGGTTAGTAGGCAAGTTATTCATGTATAAAACCAGTACGGTATTCGGTTTGCAAACTAGAAATCCGCATAACTAATACATGTACAAGTTATGAAAGAACTTATGTATTGTATTATATTGGATTGAAGGTGTAACTAATTCCTCCATAAAATAATACATAGATTTCCTCATTACTAATCCTTGTATTTCTAATGTCTGCATAACTCTAACCAGCTACCAAACAACCCCTAAAAGTCCATTTACTCAATTTCTACATTTTTGCTCTTTGATACTTAATAGGCTTGTTTTCAGTAATAGGCACTCTCTTCTGATTTACTTACTGCTTTCCTTTTCCCAGTGGATTGTTTTCCTAGTTGAAGTGAGGCCAAACTTACTTTCTGGTGAAGGGGAAAAGTTTCTGCTGGAGGATGTCAAACAGGTAACCTCATGCATGTAAAAGTTGTAGCTCTCGAATGCCTACTTTTCTATCTCAAGCTTGTGATTCAACCATTTCAGATTGTATCTTTACTGGTATAACGTAGAATTAGATAATTAATCTGACATTTATAGAATATATCAAAGTTTGGTTGCATATAGTTTCCCTACTTCATGTTCAACTTCATCATCATTATTAGACTTGTTTAAAGAATAGAGTTTGCAGTTCCGGGATACCACCTTTCTTATCTGCTTTTCCATAATGGTACAAGTCTTTCAGACATCCTAACTCTGCTAACTATAGCCCTGTTCAAAAGAAAAGAAAAAAAAAATTCTTATATAATATAGTTCCAGAATACTTGCTGGGACTGAGACATGGCGTTAACTCCCACTTGGGCTTTGTGGGATGGTGGTGCTTGTGGGGGGGGGGGGGGG